GAGGGGAAAAATGAGGACTTGATACCAGGGGCTTAGGTGGAGAGCAAATGTTTTGAGAATGATGAGGGCAATGAATGTACAAATGTGGTTTACACAATTGATGTATGTATGAATTGTGATGAGTTGTATGAGCCCCTAATAAAATGATTTAAAAAAATCAGAAGACTTATTGAAACAATAATCCAATAAACTAATGAACCACTCAAACATCAGTGTCCACAACCCTGAGACCAGAAGAACTAGCTGATGCCTGGCTGCCACCACAAACTGGAAAGGATATTAGAGGCATCAGAAAAAAATGTGGAGTGAAACTCAAAATCAGAAAAGAGGCTTACTGGTCAAAGTTAGACAGGTAGACCACTGAGACTATAACCCTATCACCCTTCAGGTTGGGAACCTAGCCCTGAACCTACCCCTGTGATGGAGTAATCAACTATTTAAGATCAGAGGTGCAACATCTACCCAAGGACAAAGTCCGAGGGTTATAAACAGGGGATGAATGGAAACAGGAAACATAGGGAGAAAGTGCAATAGGAGGTGTTTTATTGAGGGGATTCCAATGGATGAGTTGAAAAAGAGGGTGCACGGGTTGTTGAATGTGAAACTGATGATCTTCTCTGTAAATATTGATTCAGCTAAGAATTTTAAATAATACATTTATAAGTTTGACCTATTTTGTGAGAATTTACCATGAAGAAAAAAAGAAAAAGGAAAACACTGTTCATTTAGCAGTTTTTCTATGCATTCCAAAAATCTTTAAAAATTTACTTATTTATATTATTCTTAAAATGGTTTAAAGTAGTTTAAAATATTATGTGCAATAGCAATAACTTAAATTAGAAGCAAATAATCATTTTACCTAGGATTTACCAGTATCTCCATCCTTAAGTGCTGAGCTATATTTACAAAAAAACCATTTTCATTACATTTTACTCTAAGACCAACATCATGATTGTTCTGAAAGGAAAATGTAATACCTCTTATATTCTGCTCCTCTGAAAAGGTTTAAAGGGTTTCTCCATACCGTGCATTCTAAACAAGAGAGAGAAAAGTTAAAAAGAGACAGATAGGTTAATCAAATGCAACTAAATTGTCATTTAACTCATGTTTATTGTATACCAATTGTTGCAGTTAGGTTTTTATGCCAACCTGGCACCTGTAGGAAGTTATAGGTGGTGGTTAGCCTGTCAGTCAGGTCAAAGCCTGGAGATGCTTCCTTGGGGATGTGGCGTTCTTATAAGAGAAACACTAAGGAGAACTGAGCCCTCTCTTGCCCTTTGCCTTCCTGCTTGACTGGGTCTTGTGTCAAGGTCTTGTAGCAGTCCACATAGCTTGCTGACCCTGGGAGCTCTGCCATGTTCCCGTGGACTTTGGGTCCACGTGACTCTGAATCTACAGGCTTGTGATAGCTCAGCTTCCTTCTTCACCATCCTACCTCATCTGCCTGTAGCTACATGAGTCTGAGGGCCTCCAGCTAGCATCTGCCCATGGACTTGAGTTGAACTGGCTAGGATGTGCTTCCTTGATATAAAATTACTTTTTATATATATATGAATATCACTGGTTTTATTTCTCTAGAAAACTCAGCCTAACACACAATCTAAGCACAGCAGTAACCACAGATGGTATAAAGATGAACAAATAATATATGGTACTAACACTTGAGAAGCATATAATTTCATTCCAGACCAGTGGTTCTCAACCTTCCTAATGCAGTGACCCTTCAATACAGTTCCTCATGTTGTGGTGACCCCCCCCCCCACAACCATAAAATTATTTTTGTTGCTACTTCATAACTATGATTTTGCTACTGATATGAATTAGGGGACCCCTGTGAAAGGGTCATTCTACCCCCAAAGGGGTCGCGACCCACAGGTTGAGAACCACTGTTCTAGACAATCATCCCTATCTCACCTCCAAAACATCTGACTCATAATTCAGCTCTAGCATTTGTCATATTACAATGTAATTATCTGTTTGGTTTGGAGTTTTCTCCATTAAAATATGAGTTCTTAAAACTTGTTTACATTTTTATTCCTGGAGCCTAGTGCAGTATCTGGAACGGACATGTTTAATTAAATTAAAGGTAGCATGAGAGTTAGCTATGTGAACAACTAACCTAAACTGTGTGACAAGTGCTACAGTAGAGATACATTTTGCTCCATGAGAATAAAAGGAAATGATTCCTTTTACTCTGGGGGAATCAGGGAAGGCTTTATAAAGCCTTGAATGACAGTATAAAGTATAAAAGTTGAGAAGGCTGTAGCCAAGTAATATTCCAGGAGGAAGTATCATAAAACACAGCATGGTTAAGATATGAGTATCACATAATGGCGGGGGGGACACTGTAAATGTGGTTAGAATAAAAGAGCAGGGGAGATTATGAAGGGGTTTTTATACCACATTAAAAGCTTTAGATAGCATCCCTAATCATTCAGAAGTCACCAAAGGCAGAAAAAAATAGCAAATATCAAATCTGTATTTGTACCAAAAGTTCTCCAGCTGTGATTTATGGGATCATAACGTGATACATATTTTTATAATAAATACTAAAATCATATTTGCATTTTCAACTGTGTTGACTAACATTCCGTCGCATGACTCTTAAGAGTGCTTCCTGAAATTTTACTCATAGGTACCTGACTTGCCTCACCTAAGTACCAGTCCTGAACAATAGAACTGATGGTGCAGAATTAATCATGGGTGGACATGCTAGTACAAGTGAAGCCAATGATGAAACTGTACTAGTAGCCAGACCATGTCCTTGCAGTAAGACCAAGGAAACTGTTAAACATCATACCAAGTATTTAAGAAATCAATAAACACATTTTATTTATAATAAACCCATGCATGTATGAACTAGGAAACAAATGACAAGCAATTTTTCTTTCAATAAAATTTGAACTTTCAAATGAACAACAGGACTTTGAAAAGCTTGTATCTGCTACTGTAACTTGCCTGGTAACTTGCCAAAATGTAGTCTTCTCTATGGGAGTAGTGGGGATATTCAAGATTGTGATCCTCAAGATATTATATAACAAAATCTGTGTAACTCAGCAAAGTATTATTTTCCAAATGGTTAATATGTAAAAAAAAACTCATTGCTGTGGAGTTGATTCTGACTCATACTTTATAGGACATAGTAAAACCACCTCATATGGTTTCCAAGTCTGTAAATCTTTACATAAAGTGGACTGTCACATCATTCTGCAGAGCACCTGGTGGGTTTGAACCTCCAACCTTTCAGTTAGCAAAGCTGAGCTCCCCTGACTAATACATTGTATTATAAAAACAATGCTACGTAAAAGATTGAAGCAGAGTGTAAGATAACCAAAGGATATAATAAGGGAACAGGAAATGAAATGTTCGTTGATATGACTGGAGATTCCACATGGCAATTAACTTTTATGAAACCACCTTTTATCAAGTTTTGTTGTAATATTAAAAGAGAGACCTCAAAACATTTCTGAACTAGTAAAATACTTTTCCAAATACATACATACCTCTGCGAGACAAGATTTTCTTTCCATATTTTACAAAAAAAAAGTATCACAACAGATCAAATACAGAAAACAGAGACTAAGGTATCTTCTATTGATGTTGGGTGCCACCAAGTGGGTTCTAATTCACATGAACACCAGAACAAAACACAGCCTGGTCGTTTGTCATCCTCACAACTGTAATGTTTGAGTCCATTGCCGCAGCCACTGTGTCAATCAGTCTTGCTAAGAGACTTCTCCTTTTTATATGACCCTCTACTTTATGAAGCATGATGTCCTTTCCAAGGAACTGGTCTCTCCTGATAATGTGTCCAAAGTACATTCTGGCAATACTTCTCTCAAGATAATATTTATTTGTTCTTCTGGAAGTTCATGGTACTTTCAATATTTCTTATCAATACTATTTTTCAAATGCATCAATGCTTCTCCAGTCTTTCTTACTCATTGTTCAGTTTTCCTAAGTACATGATGCAATTGAAAATACCATGGCTTGAATTAGGTGCACTTTAGCCCTCAAAGTGATATCTTTGGGTTTTTGTTGTTGTTGTTATTGATATCTTTGTTTTTTAACATGTTAAAGAGGTGTTTTTTTTAAAAAGCAGAAGACCTTTTTAATTGTGAATTAAGTAGAGGTTTATATATCAGATAATCATTTCTGCATTCAACAACTTTCAAAACTTATCAAACCTCCCAATGGTTTATTCTGTTTTCACCATCTCCTTTCCCCTGATCTCCCTTTTTTGGTTTGTTTGTTTTTAATCAATTTATTGGGGGCTCGTACATCTCTTCCCCTCATCTCCCTTCTGTAATACATTATCTTTCCCCTTATGCAAGCTAACAACTGTCTCCAAAATCAAATTCACTGTCATCACGTTGACGCCGACTCATAGGGACCTTATAAAACAGGGTAGAACTGTTTCTGTGGATTTCTGAGACTGTAACTCTTGAAAGGGGTAGAAAGCCCCATCTTTCATCTGGGGAGACCCGGGTAGTTTTGAACTGCTGACCTTTCAGATGGTAGCCCAACACATAATCACGCCACCAACCTTCGAGTTTATTGCTTCCCCTTCCTTTCTTTTCTCTCCTCCTAGTAACTATCAAACTCTGTTTCTTCTGGTATGAACATATTTTCTTGATTTAAAAAATATATATCAGCTGTCTCATACAGTATTTGCCCTTGTGTGATCAATTAACTTCACTCAGCATAGTGCCTTATGCCAATCCTGATGCCACATTCTTCTTCACATAATCCATTTTATCTGATTATTTGCTCAGCATACCCACTGAATAAATAAAACGAGAGGATACAACACTGTCACATACATTTCCTGTTCTTCAACTATTCAGTATTCCCTTGTTCTGTTTGCACAACTACCTCTTGATCCATGCAAAAGTTCCACAGGAGCATAATGATTGTTCTGTAATTTCCAATCTTCTCAAGGTTATCCATATTTTCTTATGGTTATGCCTTGGCATAGTCAATGAAACATATGAGTAAGTAAACACCTCTCTTGTATCCTCTTTTGTCAGTTAAAATCCATCTCATATCAACATGATATCCCTTGTCCCCAGTCTTCTACTGAATCCAGCCTGAACCTCTGGCAGCTGTGACAATATAGTGTTGCAACCGTTGTTGGATGGTCTTCAGCAAAGTTTTTCTAATGATATTGCTTTACAATATGCACATTCTGTTGGGTCTTTTATCTTTGGGATGAATACAAATATGGATCTCTTCCAGTATGGTGACCAAGTAGGTGTCTTTCAAATTTTTTAGTATGGGCCAGTAATTGCTTCAACAGCTGTTGAAACATTTCAATTGGTATTCCATCCATTCCTGGAGTCTTGAATTTGGTAATGCTTTCAGTTTAGCTTGTACTTCTTCCTTCAGTATCATTGGTTCTTGCTCCTGTGCTACTTCTTGAAATGGTTGAATGTCAACTAGTTCTTTTTGGTAGTGACTGTGTATTCTGTCCATCTTCTTTGGAAACTCCCTGTATGCTTAAATATTTTGCCCATAGAATCTTTCAAAATTGAAATTCAAGGCTTGAATTTTTTTCTTCAGTTCTTTTAGCTTAAGATATGCTGTGTTTGTTCTTTCTTTTTGGTTTTCCAACTCTAGGTCTTGGAACATAATATTTGACTTTGTTTTCTGGAGCTGCCCACTGAAATTTTCAATTCAGCTTTTGACTACACCATTTCCTCCATTTGCCTTAGCTATTTTATGATGAAAGAACAAGTTTCAGAGTCTCTTTTGATTGCCACACTGATCTTTTCTTTCTTTTTAATAACCTTATGCTTTCTTCATGAACTATATTCTTGATGACCTCCCATTGCGCATCAAGTCTTCTGTCATTAGTGTTCAATGTGTCAGATCTGTTCTTAGGTGTTCTCAGAATTCAGGTGAGATAAACTCAAGCTGTATCTTGGGTCATATGGACTTGTTCAACCTTCAATCTGGAGTTACATATGAACATTGATGGTTTGTTCCACAATTGTCCCCTGGCCTGGTTTTAGCTGCTGATGTTGAACTTCTCCATTGTCTCATTAGATCTAGTCAGTTTGATTTCTTTGTATTCCATCTGGAGAAGTCCACATGTATAGTAGCTATTTGTGTTGTTGCAAAAAGGTATTTGGGATGAAGTCGTAGGTCTGACAAAGTTCTTTCATGGGATCTCCAGCTTTGTTTCTATCATTGACTGTTCTTTTCTCTGTTTCTAATGTTTGCATTCCAATCTCCAATAATTGTCAATGCATTTTGATTGTATGTAATCAGTTTCAGACTGGAGATGTTGGTAGAATTCTTTCATTTCTTCATCATTAGCTTGAGTAGTTGGTGTGTAAATTTTAATAATAGTTGTATTTCTTGGATTTTTTTGTATGTAGATGGACATTATCCTATCACAGAAAGCAGTGTACTTTAGGACAGAGCTTGCAATGCTCTTTTTGATGATGTATGCAACACTATTGCTCTTGAATCTGTCATTCCTGGTATAGTAAACCATATGAGTTGCTGATGCAAAATGACCAATACTAGTACATTTCAGGTCACTAATACCTAGAATATTGATATTTCTGCATTCCATTTAATTTTTAACAACTTACACGTTTCCTAGATTCATACTTTGTACATTCCGAGTTCCAATTATTAATTGATGTTTGCAGCTGTTTCTTCTCATTTTGAGTCATGTCCCATTAAAAAATGAAGGACCCAAAGGCCTTAGGTAGGCTTCTTACTCCATCTGTGTCATTATGGTAGACTATAATTGGCGAAGACAGCTCTGCCTCAGTCATATTTTGAGTGCTTTCCGACCTGAGAGGCTCTTCTTCTGCCACTATCATCTACAATGTTCTGCTTCCATTCATGAAGTTTTCAGTATCTAGCAATGTTCTGCTGCATCCCATTGGTTTCCATGCCTAATTCCTCAGAAGTAGACAGCCTATTCTTTCTTTGTAGTCTGTTCTTAGTAGGAAGCTTTGCTGAAACCTGTTCACTTTGGATGACCCTGCTGGTATTTGTCATAGCTTCCAGCATCACAGCAACACATAAGCTACCATCGTACGACAAAGTGATAGACTAATGTTATTAGAGGTAATGAAAATTGCAATTCATTTCCTTCTCAGATTCCTGGGGCTCTTTCTTTCTGTTTCTCCAGGTAAATAAAGACCAATTGTTATGTCTTGGGTAGCCACTTGAACATTCTTAAGACTTCACATGCTACTTATTGAATTTAATATAGAGCAGAAACTCTAAAAACAACATTAGGTGAATTAACTGCATAGTACCAGAAAGCTATGGCCCTAACACTTTGAACCAAGAAAACTAACCCGATTAAGTGTTTAGTTTATCTAAGTAGCTAAGTAGTATCATCATAGCAAGCCTATGAGTCAGAATTCACTTGATGACAGTGAAGAAGGAATATCAACAGACACAGACTTTTTTATTTTTGGATGATGTTATCGTTGTAAAATTATACAAAACACTTTGCCATCTCTCTCTCTTTTTCTGGGTACATAGCTTAGTGGTAACAGCTATATTAGTTTGGTTATATAATCATTACCCTTAGCTTATGCCAAATTTCCTATCAATATAGATGAAAAAACTCACAACTTTCAAATGAGTGATTTTTACTTTCCTTTAACTCCCTTTCCATGTCCCCTATTTACTGGATCCATTAAGACTAAGGGAACTCTCAACCTAATGTCTAGCAGTAATTCCTAAACTATAAACTGAAATTATGCCATGGACCAAGAGGCAGTTATTCAGGAAAGGTGTGTGGCAAGGTTGTATCCTTTTACCACATGATCTATATGCTGAGCAAATAATCAGATAAGATGCATCATATGAAGAATAACATGGCATCAGGATTGGAGGAAGGTTTATTAACCACCTGTGATATACAGATGACACAACCTTGCTTGCTTAAGGAATTGAAGGCTTGCTGATGAAGATAAAGGATTGTAGCCTTCAGCATGGATTACAACTCATCTCATAACTGCACCAGTAGGTAACATTACGGTAAGTGGAGAAAAATTCAAATTGTCAAAGAATTTGTCTTGCTTGGATCCACAATCAATGCTCATGGAAGCAGCAGTCAAGAGATCCAACAACATGTTGCATTGGGTAGACTCGTTGCACAAGGCCTCTTTAAAATGTTGGAGTGATGATGTTACTTTGAGGGCTGGGGAGGACCTGACAGAAGCCATGGTATTTTCTATTGCCTCATATGCATGTGCCATGGGCTTTGGGTAGTACCATGGACTGCCAAAAGAACAAACAAATCTATCTTGGAAGAAGTACAGTCAGAATGTTCTGTAGAGACAAGGATGGTAAGATTTTGTCTCACATACTTTGGACACATTACCAGGATAAACCAGTCCTTGGAACGGACACCATGCTTGGTAAAGTAGAGGGGCAGTGGAAAAACAGGAGGGCCTAAACAAAATGAATTGACACAGTGGGTGCTACAATGTGTTCAAACATAAGAACAATTGTGAGGATGGTGCAGGACCAGGCAGTATTTCCTTCTGTTGTTTTCTGTTGTATGAACTGACTGGAACGCACATAACAACAACAACAACATTATTAGCTCCGTTATTATGATACGTGAAGAAATGAATGGTGTTCAGCAACCATTACTGAACATTTTGATCAAGGACTCAATAGACCAGGACTCATCAAAAGAGGAGCACGCATGGGATAGAATTTCAAATTCATGGAAACCACATTAACTGGATCAGGCTCAGTATCTTATATGAGGAGGCTTCAAAAAGTTCACATTAAAATAGAACTAAAATATTTTAATTGAAGGAAAATTTAATTTAATTTAAAATTAAAGGATTTTTAAATATTATCATCAAGATAGTACTCTAGGCAGGCATGCTATACAGAGACTTGACAACAAAGGCACAAGATACCAAAAGAAACAGGCAATCCTGGAAAATAAATTATTGGCTAGCCAGACAGGGCATGGCTAGCATGAACTTTTACACATAGCATTTGATTGAGATAATCAAACACACACTGATGGCTGGCAATGAGTAAGGTGGCATCCTCCCTTATTCTCCATATCCTCTTGGCGTCTAAAAGTCTGGTCATATCCCACACTCACCTACCCAGTACCCAGTGACATCACCTCCCCCACCACCCCCGCCCTATCCTGCACAGCCCCTGCTCTGCCCAAGGTCAGAGGGACACCCTCAAGGAACTAGATCCTAGTGCACCACCACCATTTCTGACAAGCATGGACTCCATGGCACCAGACCAGCAGTGCTGGGTTTCTGGACGGCTAGCCCTGGACGGGCAGGAACTCCTCCCAGAAGCAGCCACCCTCTGAATCTGAAAACATTTCTTCCAGGAACGAGCAACTGACCTCAGCCACCATCTAAGCATCCCACCTCTTCACCCTATGAGCATTTTGGCTGACAGAGGATGCTGTCCCACCCTGGCTGCTCTACCCCCAGTTTTCCCTTCTGGGTCCTGCCCCTTTTCTTTCTCTTGTTTTTTATCCGTTCTTTCTCTGATTTTCTTTTTTCTCTTTTCCATTTCTCTTTTTCTGATCTTCTTTCTCTGTAGTTTTTCTCCTTCACTATTCTTTCTTTCCCCTTGTTTTTATTATCTTTCTAGTTAACAAATTCCTTTTTTCTGTCAATTGTTTGTAAACACAAGAGGAGAATGGTGGTAGGTTTCTGATGATTACTGAGCCTACTAGCATTGCATTATAATCACCTACCTACATTACATGAAAGAGAAACAAACGTATCTTCTGATTTGAGTTCTCCATCTCCCCCAGCCAAACTCAATTGTAAGTACACAGCTCTGAAAAATATATTGAGAAATTACCTGACAAATTCTGTCTGCTGTTTTCACCTCCTCTGTTGCTCAATGGTGAGCCTGGCTCTGAAATGCTGCTCTCTGTTCCTCCCATCAGTGGTCGCAAATGGCTTACAGATACTTGCTCGATAAAAGATGTGCCATGTTTATGGAAGTACCACCATTCGAATATCTATGATAAACAGATATGAGTTCTAATTAAAGCATTCTCCCCAGATGTCAGTTTACATTGGCATTTTAAATGCACTCCCCTTGCAAAACTAAGCCAAATACATGATCCTCCAATCACACATGGCAAGCAAAATGTCTTTTTTTTTTAAATCATTTTATTGGGGGCTCATACAACTCTTATCACAATCCATACATACATCAATTGTGTCAAGCACATTTGTACATTCATCGCTCTCATCATTCTCAAAATATTTGCTCTCAACTTAAACCCTTGGTATCAGCTCCTCATTTCCCCCCCTCCCTCGCAAAAATGTCTTTTTAAAAAGTTTTGTCAAGACATTTAGACAAGCTGAGGAAAAACTCAAATAAATGCATTTGTAAATAAGACATTAAAAGACAATTAGAAGTCACAATAGCAAAAAGGATGAAGCAAGCTAGTATGCATCAATGAATAAACGGATAAACTGTGCTGCATACATACAAGGGAATGCAATATAACGCTAAAGAGTAACTATAAATCCAGGAAACATCTCACAACATGGATGAAACTGAAGGACATTATATTCAGTGAAGTAAGTCAACCATAACAGAAAGTAGGATTATTGAATGAGATCACTATTATAAAATACTAAGAAAAGATTTACAAACAAAAGTAATTAGCATAGTCTTTGGTAGTTACCAGGAATGGAATGGGAAGGAAGGGAAAATTACTAACCAAATAATAAACATATATTAAATTGGGTAACAGGAAAAGCAATACACCATAATGGGGAAGTCAGCACAATAGGGCTAATGCAAAGGAAGACCTTGGGAGGTCCGTTAAGATTACAAGGCTACAATGGTAAATACTATTCCATACACAAGCCTGCAATAACAGTAGTAACAAACAATTTGAGTGTATACATAAACAGATACGTAAACTGAATGGGTATGAGATAGCACATAGGAATATACCCACCAGAATAAATATATTTGACAGACGATATGTATCTATATGTGTTGCAAATATACCCAGGTATAGAGTACAAAGGAGGCAAAGTTATAAAAATTGCCCTTCACTATATATATGAACAGGTGGTTTTTTATGAATGAATATGATATCAGGGCTAGTGAATCCTCTCAACTTTTTAGTGCAAAGAAACCAATTATAATAATTGCTCATATTCATCAAAAATGTTCTATTAGCCAACCATTATGTTCTTTTACATGTATTATGTGATTTAATCCTTACAATAACTCGCTTTACAAATTTTTAGTTTAAATAACTAGCCATGGTTCACACCATTGGTAAAGCTGCAGAACTGGAATTCTTATTCAGGTCTACCTGACTTTAAGAGCTTCTATCCGATAACTTTAGACTGCCTCCCAAATATACTTCAGCATGTGTGTATGTGAATGTATATGTATATGTGTGCACATGTACAAATTTTAAAAGGCCAGGCAGTAAAAGAAATTAAAAACTCAATAAATTTTGCTAGTCAAAATCCAGCAATATCATAAGGATCATGACACAGTTTCATGTTTTAAATGTTACTTGGATTTTATAATCTTTGTATATTTAAAACCCTGGCTTAAAATAATAAAAATGAATTTTTAAAAGTTTTATATATCTAATACACACAGGAGTGTACATATGTATGATAGGTGTCGCTTTCTTATAAATGATGAAATGAAAGCTGTGAGAGATTAAGTGATTTACCCAAAGTTATCAGCCAGTAAGTGACAAATCAAGAATCAAAACCACATCTTCTGGCCAATTGTCTTTGCCCACTCTACCAGCCAAATATAGAGAGTTCATTTTCTTTAGTTAGTTTTTTATATGCTATTGACTAAAATATGCTTAATTATGAGTGAAACATTAACATTTAGTGTTTGTTATAGATTGAGTTTTATGTCCCCCAAATGTCTTGTAAATCCTAAACCAGATACCAGAGACTATCCCACTTTGGAATAGGTTTTCATTGTTATGTCTATGAAGTTGGATTAGGATGGGGTATGTTTTAAATAAACCTATTTTGAGATATAAAAGACCAGGTTAAGCAAGCTCAAAGGGAGAGGAAGAGATATGTGACACATGATCATGAATGAACCTAGGAAGAGAGTTGAAGGAGTCAAGAATTTTCTCCCAGTGTAAACCAAGAGAACATTCCTTTAGAACCAGCGCCCTGAATTTGTACTTCTAGCCTAAAAAACTGTAATAAATTAAATTTCTATTCATTAAAATCAACTACTTGTGGTATTTCTGCTATAGCAACACTAGATAACTAAAAGTTTTCATGCTAAATTCCAAAACAATCTCTTTATTGTAAGTCAAAAAAGAATCAAAAGAAAAAATCCTTTCTTGTCTAGCATTTCACTTTAACAAACTTCATCCAAAAAAAGTTTCAACACAAATACGGTTATTTCTATTATAGATGGAGAGCACCCCCTAGAGATGACAAAAAAGAATGGAAAATTCATTGGCTTTGCATGCTATAATTTAAAAAACAGGAAAACAAACCCACTAGTGTGGAGCCAATTCTGACCCATAGCAGCCATGTAGCACAGAGCTGAGTTGCTCCCAGGGTTCCTGAGGCCGTTAACCTCCATGGAAGCAGACTAACTCATCTTCCTTCTGGGGAAAGGCTGGTGCTTGAACAATAGCCTTTCTTTTAGTAGCCCAACACAACCCACTGACCCATCAGGGTTTTCTGCATCTCATAAACATACTTCTAATATTTTTATCTGTAGCATTATTTTCCCAAAGTTTACATAAGGAAACACTAGTTTCCAAGGATGTTAGTTGGATTTTTTTTAAGTTGGATTTTTAAATGAAAAAAAAAGTTCTTTTAATACAAATAAAATCTCAGTAAAACAAGAACTAGGTGAATTAAAACCAAGCAGCTTCTTTAGTGTGAGACTTCTCTGAATAATATAACCAAAGTTTATTACGTGCTTACTCCACGCCAACTATGTACAAAGTTTTATCCAGAGTATCCCATTTCCAAAAACTTGCTACCACTGAGTTGATTCCCATTCATAGAGATCCTATAGGACAGAACTTCTCCCTTGAGTTTACAAAGCTTTAAATCTTTATGAGAGCAGACAACCTCATCTTTCTTCCACAAAGTGACCAGTAGGTTTGAACCACTAACCTCATGGTTAGTAGTTCAGTGCATAGTCCACCACACCACCAAGATTCTGTGTAGTGCTCATAATCTTCATGGTTATTGTTGTGAACTGACCTTGAGTTGACCCTGACCCATGGTAACCCAGTGTACAACCTGACTGAATTATTGTGACCCATAAGGTTTTCACTGGCAGATGGTTGGAAGTAGACCACCAGGCCTTTCTTCCTAGCCTGGTGTTAGCATGGAAGTTCCAATGAACCCTGTTCAGCATTACAGTAACATGCAAGCCTCCACAGAAAGGTGGCTACACTTGAAGTGCACTGGCTGGACTTGGAACAGATATCCCAATGACCTAATGAAGTGTATACTATTGTTATGCCGAATTTACAGACGCGGAAACTGGGATTTACAAAAGCTAATTAACTCATACAACGTTACAGGGTTAAGAAATGATGGCCAAACTGACTTCATAACCCTGCCCAGATCAAACTCCAGTTTTCTCAGTGCTGTCAACGTTAAGAGATTTTATGTAAAAGATGTGTTATACAAGTTCTCTTAAATCATTTGAAAAACTGGAAGGTCTGGGAATCAGATAGACTACATGAGAACAATGAACCCTAGCCCTCTGTGCATGTTACTCATTTCTTGAATAAAGAATTTCTTATACTCTGCCCATGGTACTCATTTTTGGTACCAACCAGGGCCCTGTAAGCATATACTTTGAAACTTATATACTGTTGTACACAATAAAGCCTCCCATCTGCAAACGAACAATACCAATTTTTAAGAGTGGAGAGGGAGAGAGGCAGCATTCCCCAAACTTTGAATGGGCCATTTCTTTCTCAAATGTGGAACTTGGAAATGCTGACTTATAAGCACTTACACTTATTATAATGAGATTTTATCTTTAGATAAATACGAAAATGTTTATTAAGGAAATGGAAGCTACTTACAAATATTAGTCCTGATATCAAAGATGATGTCCCTGTAAGTGCCACATAGAATTTTGGTGTCAAGGAATTTAAAAATACAGTCACTGTCGAAAGAAAAAAAAATCTTTTAGTGAATTTTTAAATTACCTGTTATAAATATGAAGGTGTCTTCATGAGTGGGAAAACATTAGTATTAATAACTAACATGAGATCTATTTGAGAACGTTATCATTTAAAAAGTCAATTCATCAAGTCAATTATGACTCAGTGGCCATACAGGACAGGGTTGAATGCTTCTATGAGTTTCAGAGACTACAACTTTTTTAAGGAAGTAGAAAGCCCCATCTTTTTCTCATGGAGCCACTGGTGGTTTCGAACTGCTGATCTTGTAGTCAGTGGCCCAATGTATAACCACTACTCCAAAGTACTTTATCATGCTATATCTTAAAAATTGATTCACATATGGTAAGGAAGAATTGGACACTATTTGTAAAAAAAACATCAAATCAAAATGAGATAATTAAGCTTGCTTTGGAGACTAAAACTAAGAAATTCCCCACTTGATTTCACAAAGGAACTTCTGCCAATATAAAGAATCTAAATGTAAATGTAAATCTTTTTACAAAGGAAGTTTAAAAGGTACTTCCTAGTTATTTTGTTGAAATACAAACTGTTGTTTTAATTTATGATGATAGAATCCTGATTTAATGAGGGAAGGAAACATTGTATGAATTTAGTATGCCCATTGGGGAGGGAAAATAGTTCAAAGAGAAAAGGAGCTAAAAGTCCCTGAATCATTGTGAAATCCAGGACCAGAGTTTTCATTTAAAATAGTATCCCATAAATATTTTGGTTTTCAAAAGGAATAAAAATTCTTAATGAAATGTTCTCATATGTAAGTATGTGTAGTTAACATGTATAAAATGCAATTAACTCAACGAATAACATTTTACCAAGTTTAAAAGCCACCCGGAAACATTTCATTCACCTGTTACAAAAACCCAAAACCAAATGTACCACTTTAGTTGATTCTCACTCATAGCACCCTTACAGGACAGAACCATCCTTGTGGGTTTCCAAGATGGGAATTTTTTATGGGAGTACAGTTTCTTCCTCTCAGGGGGAGTGGGAGGGTTTCAAAATGCAGACCGGCAGTCCAACTGGTGACCACTATGACATCAGGGATCCCTCTTACCTATTATAAACCAAACCAAACTCACTGCCATCAAACTCACTGCTGACTCATATAGCGACCTAAAGGGCAGGGCAGAACTGTCCCTTTGAGTTTCAAAGACTGTAATATAGGAGTAGAAAAACCCCGCCTTTCTCCCAAGGAGCACGTGGTGGTTTTGAACTGACAACCTTGAAGATGGCAGCCCAACGCTTAAACACTATACTACCAGGGTTCTATAGAGAATGCCAAATCAGCCTTTTCAAACCGTCTAGGAAGGCTAATTTATTTAGCCTGCGTTTTTGTGTTAATGATACTGAGTGAACATGGTATACTTCCTCTAAAGTCAGAAATAGTTCAGATCATATCAAAATCTTTCATGTCATTTTATGGAATACACAATGGGACCTTTGCTTTTGTTGCGAAAGGAAAAAAACTAAGGCACTACTAGGCAAAGCCATCACATAATAGAAGTACTTTTGTCTTGTTCTGAGGTTAGTGATCAAAACTTTGAGTAAAGCCATAGGCTCTGGACCCCATCCACTTCGTCCTGGTTAAAGATGAAGCCCGGTGTTTGCAGAATCCAAGAGCATCATCCCTCCTTACATGTCCGTGTCTTCAGCGCTCCACCAATGCTGAAACAATGAGCTAAGGAACGGATTGATGTCCGTAGCTCTCTACTTCCTGCATAGTTTTTATTCATCATGATAAAGCTTAAAGCGAAAAATAAAACTATTATGAAACCTATTGACTATTTTAACAAGAGTACTAAGAAGGTCCCGGTATGTATGTTCTTTCTAAGGGATCTTTGGCAGTGTTCATCGTTTTTGGTTTGGGTGTGGATTCTTTAAACTCAGTGTCAGGAGACTCAAAGGAATGATGGTCAAGGCACCCTGCCAATGGGTGAAGAGATGTATATAAACTCTGAATCCAAGCCTGGAAGCACCCTGCTCAGTCCTACCCGGGGCAGCTCAGGGCTTTCCCCCATGTAAATAGGGCAGAAGAGGGGGCGGATCCTAAGGGGTTCAGGGAGGAGCCCCGGGTGCCGTGCAGGTGTGACCATCAGCTGGGAGGTTGCGGCTCCAGGCAATGCACGCGCTGAGCGGCGCTTCGCTCCCGGTTCTCTGCAGCCATCCAGTAACTACCTGGACGTCTGCCCTTGAGCCCGTATCCCGCCCGTCCCGGAGGAAATCTGGGCCGCTCACCCGCTGCCAAGTGCTCACACAGCCTCAGCGGGACCCTCAGAGCGTAAAGCAGACCCAGCCCCGCCACGAGCCACAGCGAGGCCCCAGCGCCCGCCAGCCCGGCCCGCAGCCGCTCCCTCCAGCCGAGCGGCGGGCTCGGGCCGGGAGCAGGTGCCGGAGCAGAGGCTGCAGCAGTCCCTGCTTCACCCAGGCCGTGTCTGTCCGCCATCTTTCCTTTCGCCGGCGGCGGGCACTGGGCGGGGGAGAAGGGCAGGAAACCGAGAGTCGGGAATCCTGGGATAGTGGCGGACCTGAAGTTGGCTGAGGTGCATGGAGTCCTAGGGAAACGGGTCCGAGATTCAGAAGGTGGAGGGTCCTGAGACGGATTACCTTGCTTTGGGGCTGGGAAAGGGGCGGACAACGGCGCCTATTCTTGAGGAATTGAACAGAGATGTGACTCCTGAATGACGTGGTTTTGCGTCCGTACGAGGTGAGGGTCACGTTTCACCTCATTCCTCGAGTTGGAAGAGCCACCGTTCACTCCCGAGGCCGAGCTTCCCTGAGCGCTTCGGGCTTGGGCAGCGTGGCCATCAAGGCTAAGTGGGGAAACCTGACAGGAGCAGCAAGTGCTGGTTGGTCGGTTGGAGCCTTCGGGCTCTGGCGCCAAAAGCAGTTGAAACGCCCCTAGTGTCCAACAAGTGAATAGGAAACAAACACCACCACGAGAAAGCTATTCCATTTTAAATCTTCTAAGGCAAATCCGACTTCCTGAGGTTCGGCCGCCCCAGCCGCTACCGCGACCGTTACGGCCGGGCGCTCGGTCGGCCCGCGCTTCCGGGTGGAAGGTTCGGCACGCCCCCGCGGCGAGCGCCGCCACGCCCCTCCCTTCCCGGCCTGCCTTGCGCCCCCACCGGGCAGGGCCAGAGCAGCCCAAGATGGCCGACTTCGAGGATCGGGTGTCGGATGAGGAGAAGGTAAGGGGTCCACCTCTCTCTTTCTCACCCTCTCCGCGGACAGGGAGCAGAGGTGATAGCCGGCTGCGGTGGGGACCCTGGCAGTGTCCCCAAGAAGAAGCAGCTGCTTAATCCGTGCTGGTGCACGCTTTTTGCCGTTGGGACACTTCTTTCTCAAGGGGCTTGCCTTTGCCTCACGGTTCCCCCGTTCCCCATTCTTCCAACTCTTTTTCTCCCGGGCCTGCGGCACAGCCCGGCGCGCTTCCTACGGAGGAAGGGGCTTTCCCTGGTTGAGTCGTGACCGAGGACTCTGTCCTATCATGATGTCGCGACGCATCAGGAAGCAGTTAGTTGACTGTCTCTAGCTGTTGGGGCGCGCCCATTCTCTCCGGGCCCGCACCCCCGTTTTTAGAAATGATAGGGGCTTGTTTGGGGCTAGTCACTTCCTGGTCCAGTGGCCTCTTAACTTCCCTTTTGTCCCTCCCTCCTTGCTCAGGAAGCGATTTTGTTGTCACGACTTCTTGGCCGGGAGAGGTTCCCACCTCTTTCCTCAGACATTAATTGACTGTAGTAAGTGTCGAAACCTCCGGGCATTTGCGTCACAATCTGAGCACCTTGGTTTTCCGTAGTTATTCTTAATCAGGAGCCTTGGTGGCTCCGTGGTTAAAGCGCTCGACCGCCAACCTTAAGATTAGCGGTTCAAACCCACCAGGCTCTCGCTGGAGGAAGATGTAACTGTTCCACTTCCGGAAAGATGACAGCTGTGAAAACACCGTGGGGGGTAACTCTGTCCTTCAGGGTCGCCAGCGAGGCAATCGATTGCAAGGCAGTGGGCTCGGACTCTCTTGATTGCATACTATTTGAAAAATAGCTTTTGGTCTCAGACGTTTGTATTAACAAATCCAGAATAGTCGGTAGGGCTTTTTTGTTTTTTAAGCTCAAAGATTGTGTGTAGCATGTAAACCACGTGTTATCGTGTTCAAGTTTGAGCAAAGCCTTTTTACCTGTTTTATCTGATGCTCTACTGTGATGTCATTGATTGCAGCTGAATTTGTCAGCTTGTAATTAGTGTACTATTTCTTCAAAAGGGCCTTAAACACAAGAATATAGTCTAAATTTGGTGGAAGAACTTCTCTGAGAGCTGTACTTTCTTGACAGTTTGCCAAACTTTACAGTAAATACCTTGTTTTTAAGACCCATAAACTCCCCCACTGCCATCTAGTCAAGTAAACTCTAATTCGTTCTTGCCCTTGGGACAGTGTAGAACCACTCCGGTGGATTTCAGCGGCTGTAAATCTTCATGGAATAGAAAGCCTCATCTTTCTCCTGCATAGAGTGTTAGTAAGTTCGAACTGCTGACCTTGTGGTTAGCTCATGACCCACTATGCTTTAAGGGCTGTAGAAATGAGAATTATCTCCTTAGAAATCTCATGGGAATTATCTCGTTAGATATTTTTTAGAGTTTTGTACTGAAGGGCAAGAAGCATGCCTTGTTTCCCATGGGGGTTCTTACAAAGTATGCCTCCCTCCCTGAATGCTCTGTAACTGAGTCTGGGCACTTTCTTACCTTTTTAATACAAGAGATTAGGATGGGGCAGGGACTGTTTATAATACAGACTCCTCCATATAGAATAATTTGCTATGTCATTCATAGCATATGGTATGCCATTTTGAAATGCTGAAGAATGTGCTGAATGTACCATTGAACAACACCTTAGCATTACATTTTATTTGGAAAATGATTCTTTTTAATGTTAATAAATTACACTTAGGAAGAAAAGCTACTGTGTGCCAGAAAGAAACTATAATAAAATGTCCATCCTTAAGCAAATTAATATTCAGGTAAAATTAAATTGCAGTGAAAAAATTGAATAACAAAATATTTTGGTACCCCAGCTGATGGTCTACCTATTTTAAGCAAAAGTTTTGTGAACAAACTTTCACTAAGAATTTAGGTAGCAACAAACTTTGAAGCATGTACGATTCTGGTTGTATAAACGTTGACGTTTATTTTGCCACTGGGTTGTGTCTTTAACACTAGGTCAGAATGTTGGGAAAATGTTCCCAACTCAATTAGAGTTGGGAAATATACGTATGTATTTCAAAGTGAAAACTAAGATACTTTTGAATAGTAGCAGTGTTTTAATAACATCAATCATCTCAATTTTATAAGTAGGCCTTTGAGCAGTTGTTCCCTTCTCCCAGAGAATATTTATAAGTTTTATATTTAATAAACAGTTTTCTATTAAACACTTTGTTTTCATTGGCTTGGATAAGTAAGAATAGCTAATACAATAAAAATCTCATAACAAATCTGTCTGGTTTGAGATGACTAAAATTTTGTCAGATTGTGTTCCCGTACTGTAGTGAAAGCTGGCCCATGATCTCTCCGGTGCATTGCTGCGAAAACAGAAAATGCTTTGACTTCTAAGATTCATCAATTCTTCAGCTTCAAACTAACTTTGCCACCTTTTCCTCCAGACTTCTGACTCCTTTTCACTGAATCCAAGAATTAAGAAAGTATGTTCCCAGAAAGTTTTGTCGAGATGACTGTCTTAGCCTTAATAAAAAATAAAGCAACCTTTAAAATAAGGTTTTTGCCTTATAAGACTTTCACAACCAGGGCACCATTAAAAACTGATTTTAAAAAATCGTATGTTGAGCTCCGATTTATATTCTGCTGTTTCCTGGAAGGACTTATATCTTTTTCCTCTCATTCAGTTCTCTCTCTCATTTCTTTTAAATTAAGTCCTCAACTGCATTTTGCTTGGCTTTTTTTTAAGCATGATGTCAAATATGTTTTAATACAGCTTTTTAATCTTCGTTACATTTTCTAAAGGTAGCAATACTGAGATGAATTTTTTGATAATTGTCTTAATTTTCTTGTAGCTAAAAGCTAATTTTAAAAAGCTTTGCATAATCAACTGCTAAAGTTTTTGTCGCTTTATAAAGAGGAAGTTGGTTTTTTTTAAACTCATTCTTGTTACCTGAAATGGTCATGAAAAGCTGTCTAAATAAACCAGGAAGTTGAAACCATAGTAACGTGCAGAAATGCTTTTAGGCTTAGTCTTCTCCAAGTACCCTGGTAGAATGATGGTTCAGCACTTTTGAATCACAAGTCGTTCTTTGGTAGAAAGACTATGGGCTTTAGTAAAGTTTACAGTCTTGGAAACCCAATGGTGCAGCATTACTCTGCTCTCTCTGAATTGGAATTCGACTTGCTGACATTCCTCAAGTTAAGAGTTTCTTAGACTCTTCAAGTTATGTAAGTTTTTCAGTAATATAGTCCCAAATACTTACAAGACCAAAGTGTCAAGATAACTGTACAGAGAAAACTTGAAATAGGAAATGAACTACTTTTTTGGTTTTTTTGCACCATCTGTTTCCTTTACTACATGATTCAACATTTTAAAAACAAATTCAAAGAAACTCTTAGGACTGGAAAAGAATGTGGTCACCACATTCTTCTCCGTCGCCTAACTAATAGCAGACTGAAAACTTCAAAAATGCTATAACTGACAGTGGGTTTGTATACTTTTAAGTTTAGACTATTAGAGGCATTTATTTATGAGAAACTATCAGAATTGTTTAGATGAGATGTAGAAAATAGTGTGACTAGGTTCTGGAATTTGAGGGCTCTGCTGGAGTTCATGAAGAAATGATTATACTTTTAAGCTGCATTTCCTTGATAATGTATTTGTTACTTTATTTGCTAGATAACTTACTGGCCTTACAGAAATTTAAGCATTCAGTAAACCCCCAAATTTAATTGACCTGAATTGTTTTCTGTTATAAATCAGCTACAAAATCCTTGGACAGGAGCATAAAGCACAAGCAGATTTAATTCAGATGTCTAATCCGGGGTTAGAAGTGGTTTATCATTTTTCCAGACCATGCTTAACACAATGCAAAGCAGTGAAATCTCTCAGAACATAAATTTGTCTGATTCTAAAGCCATACTTTTCTCACTGCACTATTCTTTCCTTGAAACTGAAAAGCAGCCGGAATAGAGTCATGTGTTGAATACATTATAAATGATGTACAGTACTTTGATGTAGTAGAAAGAATCGCTGAACATCAGGATATTTAGCCTCTCCCTGTTGTGCTTCTAGTCACCTGTATGGTTGATAACTCTGCCTCTCTTAGCCTCAGTTTCGGTTTAAAATCATGGGGAAGCAGGGTCACTGGATCAGAACAACAAAGTTTAATTTACTTGTTCAAACTCTAATTGAGTTATTTTTGTCCATTTTTTGTTCTTTTTAATCATTTTATTGGGGGCTTATCCAACTCTTATCAAAATTCATCCATCCATCCATTGTGTCAGGCACATTTGTACATTTGTTGCCATCATCATTCTCAAAACATTTGTTTTCTACTTGAGCCCCTGGTATCAGCTTCTCATTTTTTCTCCCCTCCTGGCCCCCTCCCTCATAAATTTATAAATTATTACTATTTTGTCATGTCTTACACTGTCCAACGTCTCCCTTCACCCACTTTTCTGTTGTCCTTCCCTCAGGGAGGGGGGTTATATGTAGATCTTGTGATCAGTTCCCCCTTTCTGCCCCATCTGGTATCACCACTCTCACCACTGGTCATGAGGGGTTCATCTGTCCTGGATTCCCTGTGTTTCAAGTTCCTATCTGTACCAGTGTACATCCTCTGGTCTGGCCAGAGTTGTAAGGTAGAATTGGGATCATGATAGTTGCGGGGAGGAGGGGAGCATTTAAGAACTAGAGGAAAGTAGTATGTTTCATCATTGCTACACTGCATTCTGACTATCTCGTCTCCTCACGACCCTTCTATAATGAGATGTTCAGTTGCCTACAGATGGGTTTTGGATCCCCATTCCGCGCTCCCCCCTCATTCACAATAATAGGATTTTTTGATCCTGATGCCTGATACCTGATCCCTTCGACACCTCGTGATCACACAAGCTGGTGTTTCCTTGTGGGCTTTGTTGCTTCTCAGCTAGCTGGCTGCTTGTATATCTTCAAGCTTTTAAGACCCCGGGCGCTATCTTT